GATGATGATGATGATGATGCCTTGCTTCTTCTTACCCAAATGGGGTAAACAGGGACCTTTTCCATGGCAGTAAATGTAATAACAACAACGAATCCAACACGTTTCCCATTCTTTCAGGACAATCTGCTCCGTGAAGCCACCGCCTCGGTCACCCTCATATTAAATCTTGAATGTACCGGGTGTCCTTCTGCCAGTAACCTTGAGGACTAGCAACTTTTTTTATCACAACCTCAAAACATTCTGGATCTGGAACCTCAGTTGCCCTTCATTGGATCAGGACTGATTTCAACTCAAGAAGAACTAGGTAAAAACCACCTTTTCTCTGTACCAAAAATATGGAGACATCCTGGGGGGTGGGCTGGAGGGGAAGCCAGCGCAGACACACACAGAGCGAGAGCAGAAACGCTGAATCCACAACTCCCCCCTCTCCCTCCTGACCCACTTGGCCACTGAAGCACAACGCTCCGTTTCGAGGGCCGGGTGTCAAGTGGAATTGTTTCAAATCAAAAGGATGAGCAGAGGAGGAGGATGGGAGGCAAGGAGGAAGGGATCCGCTCGCAAGAAGAGCCCCGAGGGGGGATGTGATAGGGCAAGGGTCCCCAAGCTATGGCCCATCAAGATCATCTACCCGGCTCCCACCCTAAGCTCCATTATAGGCTCTAAGTCTGAAACAACTTGAAGGCCTGTTAAGATCATGTACCCGACTCCCGCCCTAAACTATATTATAGACCTCAGGTTGCTCTAAGTTTGAAACGACTTGAAAGACTCTTAAGAAAATGTACCCAGGTCCCACCCTAAACTATATTATAGACTTCAAGTTGCTCTAAGATTGAAACGACTTGAAGGCCTGTCAAGTTCATGTACCTGGCTCCCGCCCTAGACTATATTATAGACTTCAGGTTGCTCTAAGATTGAAATGACTTGAAGGCCTGTCAAGATCAGGTACACAGCTCCCACTCTAGACTATATAATAGACTCATGTTGCTCTAAGATTGAAATGACTTGAAGGCCTGTCAAGGTCATGTACCCGGCTCCCACCCTAAATTATATTATAGACTTCAAGTTGCTCTAAGTCTGAAATGAAGTCCTGTCAAGATCATGTACCCAGCTCCCACCCTAAGCTATATTATAGACTTCAGATTGCTCTAAGATTGAAGCAACTTGAAGGCCTGTCAAGGTCATGTACCTGCTCCTGCCCTAAGCTATATTATTGACTTCAGGTTGCTCTAAGATTGAAACAACTTGAAGACCTGTCAAGATCATGTAACTGCTCCCGCCCTAAACTATATTACAGACTCATGTTGCTCTAAGATTTAAATGACTTGAAGGCCTGTCAAGGTCATGTACCCTGCTCCTGCCCTAAACTATATTATAGATTTCAGGTTGCTCCAAGATTGAAACGACATGAAAGCCTATCAAGATCATGTACCCTGCTCTTGCCCTAAACTATATTATAGATTTCAGGTTGCTCTAAGATTGAAACAACTTGAAAGACTGTTAAGATCATGTACCTGGATTCCGCCCTAAACTATATTATAGACTTCAGATTGCTCTAAGTCTGAAATTATTTGAAGGCACACAAAAATTACAATCCTACTTTGTTTGGTTTTTTTTTTTCAAACTATAGTCCGGCCCCACAACAGTCTGAAGGACCATGAACCAGTTAGAAGGACCAACCTACAGGGACCTCTTCCCAAAAAAATAAAATAAATAAATTTGTGAGCAAGTGATGAGAAAAACTACCTATACCAAATCATACCTGTACCAAGTCAGATCCAATCTCCCAGACCTTTCCGAAAGGGAGTCAACCGACCAAATAAGAGTCTTACCTTGAGTATGATATAGAACGGCGGCCCGCAGGTCGAAGTCACCCCAACTCTCTTTCCGTTCTAGGCCTCTCGGGTACCTCTGTTCTTTGGCGGAGGCTAACAAATTGTTCGTAGGGGAAGCCAGCCGGTTCTCGACGTGGCAGTCCTTGGCAAGAAAGACAAAGGGGCCCCCGGGGGCCCCGAGGTCGGCCAGGCGCGGTCCCCCCGGAGGATGGGAGTCCAAAAAGAAGCCGCCTCCGCCGCCTCCATCGCAGGGTGTCCCCAGCTTGAGGAGATTGTTCAGGAGCGGTGGCGGACAAGTCCGTTTGTCCAATTCGTAAGCCTTGGGGAAAGCGGGTGGTGGGTTGGGCCCCGTCGGAGCGGCCAAAGTGCCGGGGAACTCCCCATGAAACGTCACCTCTGGGGCCTGACCCTCCGCCGGCTTCTCCGGCCCCGCGCTGGGCTCGTTGATGAACGACAGGCCCCACTTGTTCTGGAAAATGTCCCCCAGGTTCTGCTGGAGGTGGCCCTGGAAAGAAGCGGGCTCGGCTCGGCTCGCGGCATCGAGGAGGAGGGCTTGCATATTTGACGGGTAGATTAAAAGGCTCGGCTTGGGTTCCTCTGGGGGCGCCGACTCGGAAGGGGTGAATAAGATGGCGCCGGATGCGGGGACGAGCAGCGATTGAGTACCCACCGGACACGAGACTCCGCGGTCAGCACCCGCCAGAACCGGCCCGTTGGAGAAGTTGACCGAAGTGACCGATTTCATGGCAGACATAGGGACTTGGGAGAGGCGGTTGGGAGTCGGGAGCGGCCCGTCTGTGGCGGATGATAAACACAAAGAGGAGGAAGAGGACGAAGAAGAGGAGGACGACGATGACAGGGACGACGTGGGGTTCTGTGCGGACTTATTGAGGTTCTCCTTCACCTTGCTGGCATAGCTGATCTTCGGGACGATCTTGGCGCTGCTGTTGTCAACGGGGAAAACGGGTGGCGGTTTGAAGAGAGTCCAGGAGTCCTCTTTTGAGGCTGAGACGGGCTTACCCTTGGGCCGCTCCTCGAATTTCTTGCCGACCATCCCGACTTTGGTGTCCGAGTTCTTCCTCGGCATCTCCGTCGGCCCCGGCTTGCCGCGTCCCATCCCCAAAGTGCCCCCCTCGCATTTCCACGCCGGCTTCAGTCCCTCAATGTGGGGCCCTGCTTTTGTATCCCCACCGCCGTCGGGTCTGAAGCCTTCCGGTTCCGGCGCAACCGGAGGGTCCTGCGGAGTCGTCTTTTCCAAGCTCTCGCAGCCCTTGATGCTATTGGGGCGCCCCTTCCGCTTCTTGGGGGTCGTGTAGCCGCTCTCTGACCCGCTGCCGTCATTGTCGGCCCCTTTGCCGGCGTAACCGTTGGTGATGTAGCAGGAAGTGTTCGTCACCACGCCATTCGGGATCGGAACCGCCTCCGACTTCTCCTCCCGCGCCTTGCTCTCGTAACATTTCTCGCTCTTCTTGTCCATGCTCGCTTTCGGAAGGAAGCCCTTGGACTTGAGCCCCGGTTTCCCAAAAGGGCCGCCTTTCGCCATCGGTTTCAGGGTGAAAGTAGTGTCTCCTGGGGTTTGGCTGCCATTGGTGACCCTCGAAATTGGACTGGGCACATCGCCGGCGTTCAGGCCTTTCAGGGAGCATTCCCTCTCCCCAACGTTGCCGTTCAGCTCACCGTAGCCTGCAAAAACATCCCCAGAAAAACACAAAAACATTAAAAATTGTTCATCTATACACATTAAAAAAAAATTCAGATTATAGGAAGTGCCATGAACATGTCTCCCAACCCCTGCCAATGTCCTCCCCAAACACCATACTGCCCACTACCCAAGAAATGCTTTCATTCAGGGACAAATTCACCCTAGATGTTCTGTTTTTCCTCCAGAATGGACATCCCAGGGTTCCTTTCTCTCTCCATGGGTGTGGAATTTGCACGACCCCTCCCACTGTCTCTCCCTGAACCCTTTTCTATCCTTTCCAATGGCGCACCACAAACAGAGGAATTGATCAGCAACTGAACATACTAGAGAGGTTTGGGGAGAATTTGCCATGATTTATAGGAGTTGTAGTTCATCTACATCCAGAGAGCACTGTGAACCCAACCAACGATAGATCTGGACCAAACTTGACATGGATGATGGGATTTGCAATACCTTCACTCACTTCCAGAGACCACTGCGACCCCCATGAATGATGGACCTGGACCAATCTTGGCACACAGACAGCCCCCATGACCCACTATATGTCCCAGTGCAGTTTGGAGGAGGATAGGCCACGGACAATGGGTTTTGCAGTACCATCACCCCATTCACCTCCCACAGACC